GCCCCAGTCCACCCACCTGTCCGTTCCCCCAGCCTCTGGCAGCCACCAGGCTGCTGTCTGTCTGTATTCTGGACATGTCCTGTAAACGGAATCATACACCGTGTGGCCTTTTATGTCTGGCTTCTCTCACTTAGCTTCGTGTTTTCAAGGTTAATTACATTTAGCAGGGGTCAGTCATGCCTCTGTATGGGTGGTTAATATTCCATCCTGTAGACAGACCACAACTGGTTTATCCATTCAGCCACTGATGGACATTCGGGCTCTTTCCACCTTTGGGCCATTATGAATAGTACTGCTGTGACTTTGTCGCTTGCCTTTTTGATTTACCCATTGTATCTCAGCCTTTTGGCCGGTTATCTGTGGTGTGGGGGGAAGGTCCTGTGTGTTTAACCATTTCTTTGCTCCTGTGACCAACCTTGGACTTGTTTCTTCCTGCACTTGCTCAAATGCACCTTTAAGTCTAGATCCAAGAATCCTAAATTGCCAGGTGGCTACATTTGTTCAGCCCTCTTCCAGCTTTTAACAAGGTCTGTGGATCTGTTAAAAACATAACCACCTTCTTTTAACTTCTCCAGGCACTTTTGTAATGACTCTTGGACTTTATCTGAGCCGCAACCTTTGGAACAAGGAGGACTAACATTTCCATTTTGTGGATAAAATGGCAGCTAACACTGAGGCCTGTTGTGAGCACTTCACATTGATTAACCCCTCTAACCTCACAAGAGCCCTCCCCCTGCCCCAGGTTGGGGCTGCCCATGACCCCACCTTCTAAGTGAGAAAATGGGCCCAAGGTCAACGGTAGACAAACGGCAAAGCAGGGAATGAGTCCAGGAAATCTGGCTTCAGACCCCAAGCTCTTGACCACTTTATTCTCCGGCCTCGGGTTAAAGCCGGGGCGCCCCGAAGGTGAACGAGGTAGCTGGGTTACGGATCCAGGTTTCTTTTCTCCAGATCCACACTCCCCCATCCCCCACACCATTCTTCCCACCCCATTTCTCCAGGAGTGGAATCTGTCCCCCGAACCTGCCACCACCAAGGATTAAATGAACTCAGCCCTTGATGCCCTGGCCCAGAGCCTGTAGTAGGACAGGTGCTCAGAGAGCAAACAGCAAATGTGTTTGTGGCTTTTTCAGATTCTGCTGCCACCTGATTCCAGCCCCAGCATGCATGCACACATACGTGTACACACGCGTGCACGTGCACACGCTGGGTCTGAGGAACGCCCTTCCGGGAGACATTAGTGGTGTGCTCTTGTCCCCCGGCAGAGCCCAGGCCCTGCCTTGCAGCAGTGGCTGAGGGATGTTAGCAGGGGCACGCGCCCAGTGCCCAGGACCTCCAGGTGGCCTTGGGACACCCCACGAGGGGTACGGGGGGCGCTGCAGCCTCTAGGCTGACACTGCACTGAAGGAGGAGGAGAGCCTGAGAAGTCACCGACTTTGTGAGCTCCAAGTGGGGCTCGTGGCTTGTTCTTCACGCTGTGTTGTATTCCTCTGCATGCTAGTACCCCACTTTCTGTCTTCTGCTATTAATGGGCATTTCAGTTGTTTCCAGTCTGGGGCTATTACAAATAAAGCTCCCGTGAACGTTTTTGTATGTGTCTTGTGCCGTAGAGATTGTCACTTTCCTTCTTCACTGACCAGTGTGTCTCAGTCTTAATTAGCCTCCTAGTGTCTGGTTGTGCAGCCGTTTATGGAGCCGCCCTCCACCTGTTGGGCGTATACCCGGGAGGTGGCTGCTGGTGCGTACAGCATGTGCATCAGCTTTGGTCGGTAACGCCCGTGTTCCAAAGCCGCTCCGAGCAGCGATGCTCACGCGTTCCCGCGGCCCCACCTTCTCCCCAGCACCCAGCACTCAGGACTTTCCATTCTAGCCGTTCTGTCGGGATGCCTGCCCCTTCTTTCCATCCCTGCTTCCCCTCCCCACCCCAGCCCGGCCTGGCATCTCTGCATCTCTCAGCCGCATCGCTTAGGACACCCCGGCAGGTCAAGGAGGAGGCTGAGTGCTGGTCTCGGTCCCAGGCCCGCCCATAAAGAAAGGATTCTGTTTCGTCGGCTTGTGTGATTTCCTCCTGCACTTTGTATGCACAGCCTTGTTGGAGAGGTAGGAAGGTAGAAAATGTGCAGATGGACACGTGAAGTCTCAGAGAGGTTAACGTTGCTTCAAAAGCCAGAAGTTATATGCTGTGTTGGAACCTAGACGTTCCAGCTCATCTTTCTCTTACTCTCTGGAGCCTCCCGGTCACTTGGCCATCAGCGTCCTTGTTATAATTCCTTTCTGTCTGGCCTGTCTCATTTGCATAGTGCACACCTGCCCTCCGCAACCTTTCTTCTCTGGCTCCCCCTCCCTGGTCTCCCCGGCCTGACCCTCCTCCTGCTTCCTGCAGGCCCTACAAAACCCTGAGGCTCTTATTGCCCCTTCAGGTGAAAATCCAACCTCCTTCCTGGCCATTGAGGCCCCATGTGGTCTAGGCTTGCTTGCAGCTCAAGCTCCCGCCGCCCCTTGCCCACTGTGCTTTGGCCACTAGCTTTGGTCACCAGTGTTGCCCTTCAGCTCTCCAGACTCACAGTGTCTTCCCCCAGGGTCTTTGCACCTGCTGATGCTTGCCTGCAATGCTTGTCCTCATCACCTGCCCGCCCTTTGGTCCTTCAGGTCTCAGCGTAAATGGCTCTTATAAGAGGGCTTTCTGCTCCCACCGTCTACAGTGGGTCCCCTCGAGATGCTCTACAGGCCCCGTTACATCTGCCGTGTCACTTATCATGGTCTGTAATGACACCATCTCTGTCTGATGTCTGTGAGTCAGTCCGAGCAAAAATGTGTTTCATTTATTGACCATCACGATCCTGGTGATTCTAGGTCAGTGTCAGGTACACAGCAGACGCTCCATAAACGCTGCATGTGTGTGTGCGTGTGTATGTGCAAAAAGATGGGAGGGTGCTCCAAGCAGGTGGGCCCATCAGAGAAAGTATGGACCAGAGTCTGCCCCACGGTGACACTTTCTAGTGACCGTAGCAGAGCCTCTGAGTCTTGTCTTGCAGTGGGAAGGCGGTGTGGCATCATGGAAAGGACATGGGACGTGAGAGTCCGAAAACGGGCTGGAGTCCTGGCTCTGCCAGCACTTGGCTGTATGTCTTTGAACAAGTCTGTCTCTGGGCCTCAGTTTTCTGGTTCTATAAGATGGGACAGATGTTAAAAACCAACAATAATAACACCCATTCCCAGTGGCTGGAAACGGCACTAAAATAGGGGCAGGGATGTAAAGCAGTTTGTCCTTCATGGGCTTAGTGGGAGTGAGTTGTGCTTTGGGAATGTGCATGTCTCGGGGGGAGTCAGTTCCTATTCCATCAGCCCGGAGCATCTCCCACGTGGGAGCCCTAGCATACAGACGGTTGGGGCAGGATGGCCGCCCTCCGGGACATCCGCGCTTGTGCCTGTCACATAAAATCTCAGACTCTTCAAGGGCAGGACCCACGTCTTATCTGGGTTTGTGGCCCCGGCAGCATCACACACCGTTCTGGACACCACAAATGCTTGTTCTTCGTGGTGATCACCTGCTTGGGAATATCCAGGACAGGGGAGGGGAAAGATTCAGATGGGATGGAGCAACTTGGACGAGGGAGTCATGTCAGGAGAATAGTGGAGGAGTCACACACAGAAGAAACTACTCTTCTCAGATGCCTGGTACATCCGCCCCATGCCCCCCGAACACAGGAGAACCAAGTTAGCCTGTGGTTGAGCCTGACCACCACTGCTCCTGGGAAGCAAGGATTAGCTGTCTGCCCCAGTGCCTGGAGGAGGCCAAATAATGGTCCCCCAAAATATCAGGCCCTAATCCCTGAAACCTGTGGATGTTACTTTATACGGTAAAATCTTTACAGATGTGATATCGTTTCAGATCTTGAGATGGGGAGGTTATCCTGAGTTATTCGGGTCCTAAATGCAATCGAAGTGTCTTTATAAGAGGGGGGCACAGAGAGGTCTCACACACAGAAGAGGAGGCGGCCGTGGGACCACGGAGGCAAGGACTGGAGTGATGAGGCCACAAGCCAACGAACGCTGGCAGCCACCAGAAGCTGGAAAAAGAAAGGACCCATTCTCCCCTAAAACCTCCGGAGCGAGCACAGTTCCGGCAACATCTTGACTTTGGACTGATTTTCAACTTCTGGCTTCCAGAACTATGAGAAAAAAAATTTCTGATGTGTTAAGCTATCAGATTTGGTTGGTCATTTGTCACATCAGCCACATGAAACTAGCACAGTTCATTAACTCACCAGACCACTTAGCGAGCACCTACTGTGTGCCAGGCACTGTGCTAGCAGAGGCCGTACACAGTGACTAGGTCAGTCAAGGCCCTGCCTCCTGGGGCCGACGGTATACTTGGGCGCCAGGGGCAGGAGGAACAGAGGACGAACAAGTAACAGACACCACTCCTTGGCTATGTGCCAGGCATCATCTTCCATATGCTTCCTGTGTATTCACTAAATTAATCCTCACAACAGCCGTCTGGGGTAGGGTACTGCTATGCCCATCTTGTAGATATGGAAACTGAGGCACAGAGAGGCTAGTCCGAAGCCACACAGACCATAAATGGGAGAGCCCAGTGTGTGCGCTCAGAACCTCTGCTCTGAATCAGCTTTTGTTAGATGATAAGACCTATGAGACGGTAGTTGTAACACGTGCAGTGAAGGTAGTAGACAGGGTGGGAGGTTCATTTAGGGGGGCAGGGAAGGAAAGGGCCTCTGTGGGGAGAGGACGGTTGAGCTGAGGCCTGAACGAGGGGAGCCAGCTCAGGGGACACCGAAAGGAAGGAAAGTGCCGGCCCGGCGTCCTGAGGTGGGGATGAGCTCGGAGGGACCCAGGGATAGGAAGCAGGTGCTGGCTCCAGGGAACAGGGCACGGAGAAGGCTCGGGGCCAGCGGCATCTCCGTAGGAAGCTGTGGTTGGGTTAAGCCGGGGAGGCGGAGGGGGAGGCTCACCTGCTGGTCTCGCTCGCCCCACCCCAGGCATGTCAGAGCGTGAGCGGCAAGTGATGAAGAAGCTGAAGGAGGTGGTGGACAAGCAACGCGACGAGATCCGTGCCAAGGACAGGGAGCTCGGTCTGAAGAATGAGGATGTGGAGGCTGTAAGTGACGAGCCCCTACCCCGTGTCCACCCTCCCGGCCAGCAGATACAATGGGAGACTGGATCCTCCCTGTAGGCGGTTCCCCTTTTCTCCCTTGGGCTCACGCTGTGGGCTCTGTGGGGCGGGGGTCCTGCCTGAGGCCGCAGCTGTGGGGAGGACCCTGAGCCAGTCCACATCGTAACAGCAGGAGGGAACGTGGCACTGCCTGGGGAGCTGCTGCTCCCACGCCTTGGGGAGCTGCCGAGGCCCAGCCTGGCTTTGTTCTGACCCCGAGGCTTCCTCCAACCCACCCTCTTCGTGCCCCTCTGTGAGCAGGCCAGCGTGGTCCAGGCTGCTCCAGGAACCCATACAGTGTCTCCACCTGAATTAGAAAGACACCCCTTTCTCAAGGCATGTTACTTCCATCTGTTAGGAAATCATCATGATATACTGACAAAACACTTATCTTCCATCTATCATAAAATTATCATAGTAAATATACAAATTGCCCATCTCTGGCATCAACAGTTATAAGAATATGAACAAACTTCAAACGAGTCAGGATGTCTCCAATATGATGGCACGCCTGTAGAGGATTTGCCCTTGTGCAGTACACAACATGAGCTACTGAATGAGCAGCCCCATAAATGGCCTTCCTCTTTCTCCAGCTGCAACAGCAGCAGACCCGGTTGATGAAGATCAACCACGACCTCCGGCATCGTGTCACAGTGGTGGAGGCCCAGGGGAAGGCCCTGATCGAACAGAAGGTAGAACTAGAGGCAGATCTGCAAACCAAGGAACAGGAGATGGGCAGCCTACGGGCAGAGCTCGGGAAGCTGCGAGAGAGGCTGCAGGGCGAACTCAGCCAGAACGGAGAGGAGGAGCCCGAGGTAAGTGGGAAGCCAGCCACTGAAGCAGATGGGAAGGTAGGTCTGTGAGCTGGCTCGAGGTGGGCAAGGCTGCCTTGCTTTCCCCATTACACTTGAGGGAAGTGGGAGGAACCTGGGAGGAGCTATGGTGTGTAGCTAACTGTGTGGATTCTAGAGCTGGTCTGCTTCGGTTCAGTCTAACCTGTTACTACCTCCATGACCTTGGATAATTTATTTAGCCTTTCTGTGGCCCAGATTCTTCGAGTCTAAAATGGGAATAATAATAGTACTTAGCGCCAGATTATTATGAGAATTAAATGAGTTGGTTCATTTAAAGTGTCAACTGCCACAATCATCTGGAGGAGTCAAAAAAGCTTTTCGAAGGAAGTGACTAAAAGAATGAGAGTAAACGAGTGAATGGAGAGTGAGTTCCAGGCAAGGGAGTGGCACATGCAAAGGCCCTGTGGCAGGAGAAATTGCAATGGAATCGAGAAAGGATAAGGAGGCGAGGGTGGCTGGTATGCAGGGGAAGGAGGAGGAAGAAGGTCTGAGTGAGGTCAGAGAGATAGGTAGGGGCCAGTCCTCGGGCCAGGTAGGCCCCAGAGTGGAGTTTGGTCTTCTACCTGAGAGCACTGTGCTGAGTACTGTGGAGCTTCAAAGAGCTTACAACCCAGTGCAGGAGACAGACTTGGGCGCCTCCAAGTGGTGTCACACTTAAGGTGGGAGGGGACTGTCTTAGTGGTAAGAGATTGTCTTCGTCTGGGTTCCCTCGAAGCAGAGCTTGAGAAAAGGAAAATGGGCAGGAGATCAGAGGCATGAGACAGGGGAGAAGGAAAAGTGAATTTGAGTGTGTGTTACTGGGGCTGCAGTGGAAGCTCAGTCCTGCTGGGACCTCTGAGAAGCATATAGACCATGTCCCAGAACAGTCTTTCTGGAGGAGAAAGCCTTGGAACATAAATTTATCCGCCTGCACCTGCCCCCAGTAGCTGAGGGTAGCCCCCAGGGGTGTTATCTCCCTGATATTCCTGGGCAGAACTTACAGAGCAGATCTCAGGGCACGAGTGGGAAGACATGCAGTGTGTGCTTGAGGCAGGGCCCCATCTGCATGGGTGGGACTACACCACAGCTGCAGCAAAAATCCACATGGGCCCAGGGCTGCGACATGGGGTGCCAGAGGTGTCTCCCCCGTAGATGTGCCCCCCGGGGGGGGGTGTCAGCAACACAGAAGTAGGACAGTTAATCCTGATGGGGGTGGTGTGCAGTTTCATGGAAGAGCTGTCCCTTCAGCTGGATGTCAGTGTTCACAATGCTAAGATTTTGAGAGGTGGATGGCTGATGGATATGCTGCTTCAGAAAAGCATAGTGGACTCTTAGGGAAAAGCTCGGGGCTTACTCTTTCTTCCAGCAAATATTTATTGACTGTTTCTTGTTTGCAGGCACTGTGCTAGTTTCCTGGGTTACAGGTCAGGGAGGTAAGACAGATGAGCTCAGCGTCAGGTTGGCCCAAGTGCCAGCACAGTCAGTAGGTATCTTTCAGGCCAGACACTTCTAGGTTCTCTGAAGGACAGGAACCTGGGATACAGTTAGGGAGGTAAGGGAACGAAGTCTTAAAAGGGAGAGATTAGGGCTAGTTTTTGGCCAAAAGTGACAGAAGCCCAAATTAAAATGGGTTTAAGGATTTAAAAAAAGAATTTTTGGTTGTATAGCTAAAAACTTTGAGTTAAGGATGGCTTCAGGTATAGCTGGTTCCAGGTGCGCAAATGATGCTATCAGATGTCTCAGCTTTGCTTTCCTCTGTGTTGGTGTTGTTCTCAGGTAGGCTATGCCATATAGTGGCCCTTGGTACTCTTATCAGCTTAGCAACCCCAGTGAAAAGAAGTTGCCTCTTTCCCAAATTCCCAGCAAGTCTCAGGAAACCCTCTCCCCAGCCCATCACTGAACCAGTCATGGTGGCCTGAGGTCTAGAATATGCATAGTATCCATTCCTGAGTCATATGGCTACCCCTCGTGGTGTCCATCCATGCCGCATGTGCTGAGAGTGGGGATAGGGGAATTTCTCCAGAGGACAGCTGCAAGGACTCAGCCCCGAGAAGTACGGAAACAGATGCAGGGCAGGCAGAGACACAGCTGTCGCCTGCAGTGCCCGGAATGCCACACACACAGCTCTGGGCAGTGGGGAATGTGGATCCCTCCACAGGCTTCGACAGGGGAGTAGTGGGATCAGCTCTGAGTTTATGGAGGACAGTTTGAACAAGGAGGTTGCTGATGGCAGAACATAGCTGTTGGGAGCCCTTTGCAATAATCCAGGCAAGAAAGCAAGGGCTGGACCAAATCTATGGCAGTGGGATGTAGGGGATGAGGCAGATGCCAAAAACAACCGCTAGGCGAAGCTTGCTCCCCTGGTGTACCCCTTCCCGCCTCTTGTGCCCCATGAGAACTTGGGCCTGTCTCCTCCTGGGCAGGCCGGGCTCAGTCGAAACCCAGGTCCTGAGGACGCCACCCCAGCCACAACACTCCAAGCCCTGCTCCAGATCTATTTAGCAACAAGGACAGGGACATGTCACACCTCCTTGGCCCACCTGCCTGTCTGTTTCAATTCCTCTTGCTGGAACGGGGGGCGGCGGGGTGGGGGACAGAAATGGAGGAGTAAAGTCAGGTAGCAGTTATAATTAACCCACTGAGCTGCTTTGCAGAGTCTCTTCCCAAACTCGGGGTGCCTTTGCTGGGTTTGACTCCTGCCCTCGGAGCTGGGTGGAGTTCAAGTGCTTGTCACTCAAACAGGGAAGCCGCAGGCCGTGGGGGCTTTCCACCTGCAGCTGTGTGACCTGGGGCTCATGCATCATTTTGGTGCTCAGCTTCCTGTCTGATAAGTGAGGGGAATGAGCTTGACTTGGTTCAGTAGATCAAATAGTGTGGCTGGGATCAAAGGCCATGGTATCGGAGGAGGGCACAATGAATTCTCAGTGGGAAGCAAGGGCAGGGCAGGTGTTCAAGGCATTGAGACGGGTCTTACGGGATGGGTAGGATGTCTGGGGTGGAATGTGGGGTAGGCCACTCCAGACAGGAGGAAGAACGTGAGCCAGACTGGAGAATGAGCAGGTGTGGCTGGGGTGGTGGGTTAGTCCTGGCATGAGATTGGTAAGAGGAGATGGGAGCTATGGAGGGATCCAGAGCTGGGGAGGAGTCCATTCTCATCAATGCCTAGATTACTCCGGTTCTCCCCATTGATTCATGCAGTCCTTTCTGAGCTATGTCACTGTCATTTCACTGTGATCTCCAGTAAACAAAGCTCCTGGTATATTTTTATAACATAGTTATTGAGATATAATTCAACTATTGAAAGTATACAATGCAACGGGTTTTAGTATATTTACTCTCTCGTACAACCAACACCACTATCTAGAACATTTCCATCACCGTAAAAAGAAACACCGTACCCACGAGTAGCCACTCCCCATCTCTGCCTCCCGCAGCCCCTGGCCACCACGAATCTATTTTCTGTCTCTACGGATTTGCCTGTTGCAGACATTTCAGGGAAACGGAGTCATGGGACATGTGGTCCTGACCAGCTTCTTCGCTCTGTGTTTTCTCACTCATCCAGTTCCTTATGTTTTCACATGGAAGCTTCCTGCCTTTCACAGGTAGACATAGAAACTCCTAAGAAAATGATTTGGTGGGCTCCCTGTCTAAAGGACTTCATATAAAATCAGTAAGAAAACTGACGTTAATAGTTACCTACTTGACGTCTCTGCCTTACAAATTCTGATATCTTAGTGTGTGTTTGTTTAAGTGAGCAGGGAAAACAGATGGGGCCTAATGGCTGGCGTGTGAAGCCAGGTTTTCTGGCTGAATGTGTGCATGGTGGGCCTAGAAGTTACCGGGGGTGACCAGGGCACAGTCACTCCCTGTTGCTGGGTCAGGGGCTGTTCAGAAGTATGTTCGAGGGGCTGCCGGAGCATTGTGGCCTTGATGTGCCCAGGCGGGGGGAGTGGGTCCAGGAGGCCAGGCCTAAGGACGCAGGGCCCTGGTGGAAGATGTTGCCTCCATTTTGGCCACTCTGGTCCTGCTGCTTGTCAGCAGGTTCTCTTGGGCCTCCTGGGGAGTGCCTGGGGCCTCAGGGCATCTCCCTCTGTGCCCAAAGTGCCTCCGGGGACCAGCGGACAATCCTCGATAACCCCAGGCACCTCCGTGGTCCCTCGTGGAGGAAGCCTACCTAGAAGACCCACTGCCGATGGGCCTGATTTCCATGTTGGAAAGAGCCTTTTCAGTCTCTCTCCCAGGACAGGCCCATCCAAGGGCACTGCATTAGTGCCTGCTGGCTTCCAGGAAAGCTGCACTCCCAGGCAATGGTCCCAGAAGTTGGGACTTTCTTTGCAAACCTGTCTGGGAATCCCCCAAGCTCTAGGGCATCAGGTGGCTACCCTGATTGAAGAGCCATTCCTCCTCCAAAGAAAAAGACCTCAGGCCTGAGGAAGCCCTTCGGTGTCTTGGGTGCTCACAACTCATGCGGGTAAGCAGAAACCGGCTGTGTCCGGAGGGAGTGTGTGAGCCTGAGGTTTGGGTCCATGGCCTGGGCTGCCAGTGCCTATGGGGCCCAGGCACGGAAGGAAAAAGGGGTAGGGGCTGAGCAGGCATGGAAAGAACACATAGAAGACAATAGCTGCCACGTAGGACCAGCCCAGTGTTACCATGTGGACCCAGTGTGACCCAGTCTTTCAGTATTCTTTCCAAAAGGAAGCCCAAAACCCAAACTTTAGTGTGAAATCCCCCAATATGAAACTGTTGGAAACTAATTCCAAAAAGTTCTAGAACACAGTGAAGGTCAAACAAAATGTGTGTGGGGGCTGGTCTGGGCCCAGACTTCCTGGTGAACTCCTACACATTCGTCAAGACCCCATGCACAGAGACCACATCTGCAGTAACGTCTTCTATGATCCTTCCCAGTTAGAGTTTGATGTCCTTGCTCCTCTCTTATCATCTGACCCTGTAAGTTTTCCTGTGTGTCTCTTCCTTCCACTCCCACCGAATTCATCTCATCAGCTCAGTGCCCAACAGGCACAGAGTTGATGCTCAATGAATGTTGAATGTTTATCGAGACATCCGGTATTTATTGAGACAGCCATTTACTTATGGAATATTTATTACAGACCTTCAGGGATGCTTTGTGGTTAACCTGGGCAGGGGAAGAGAAGGGAAGCGGTGTTAGTGCCTGCTGTATACCAGCTGCTTGATATGCACGGTCTTGGGTAGAGGACCCCGTCCGGCTATGTGGCTCTGTAGGAGGTGGACGCTGAAGACAAACCCTGAGGACACAGCCCCCCTGAAGGTGTGTCATCAGCAGATGCCTCGAGTACCTTCTTGGGACGTTAAATCGTCGAACGTTTCCTCCCCTACTTCTTGGGTGGGAGCCCCACTCCACTGCCTATCTGTCAGGTGTCCATTTTCTACTGCAGCCACATGCCTCCCCTGCTGGGCGACTCTTCTGTCACCTGATCTGTCCTGGTGGGTGGTGTCTCCTTTCAAGTGTCCTTTCCCAGAACAGCCCATCCTGACTTCCAGGACACGGGCATCTTGGCTCTCCCTTCCTGGGTCCTTCAGCGTCCTGCCTTGTGTCACCATCTGGGTCGGAGTGCCTTTCCAACCCTGTGCTGCTGTGGGGGTTTGGCGGGGGGGGGGTCTCTATTTCAATCCCATATTCCCCTGTTCCAGAGCTTCCCCATTGTTGTCCTGAACTTGTGTCCACTCCTTCCAGTGGATGATGGGATATTGGCAGTTCAAGGGTGTCAGGAACGCCGGGAGAGTATGGGCCACCTGCAGATCTGGCCAGCTGACTTGCGGGCAGCTTGCAAAAACTTCCTTGCTTTCAAAAAATGGGGAAAAAAAAACACAAGAGTTGGCAAGGATGTGGAGAAGGTGGAACCCTCCTACGCTGCTGAGTGAAAAGTGGGGCAGCTGCTGTGGAAAACAATTCGGCCATTCCTCAAAGAGTCACACATAGAGTCACCATGTGACCCAACAGCTCCACCCCTAGGTACCCACCCGGAAGAACTGGGAACAGGTGTTCAGACAAATCCTTGTGCACAGATGTTCGTGGCAGCACTATTCACACTAGCCAAAAGGTGGAAACTGCCCAAATACCCATCAGTGGATAAAGGATACACAAAACGTGGCATATCCATACATGGGAATAGTATTCAGCCATAAAAAGGAATAGAGCCCTGACTCCCTACAGCATGGATGAACCTTGAAAACATGTTAACTGAAAGAAGCCAGGCACAAAAGGAAACATACTGTATGATTCCATTTATTCGAAATGTCCAGACAAGGCAAATCCATGGAGACAGAGTGCAGATGGTGGTCACCAGGGGCTGAGGGTGGGAGGGATTAGGGAATGACTGTTCAATGGAGTTCCTTTGGAGGAGATGAAAATGTTCCAGAACTAGACAGAGGTGGTGATTGCACAACGTTGTGAATGTACTAAACACCATTGAATTGTATATTTTAAAATAGTCAATTTTATGTTAAGTGTATATTACCACAGTTTGGGTTTTTTTTGTGGGGAGAGCCTTCTTCCTGTGAGAAAGAGGGAGGACAGGGTTTGGGTCTGGCGTGGGGCAGGTGACTTAGCATGGTAGGATCCATCTGAGTGACCTGCGTGGAAGAGAAATGCCCTGCATCTCACACCTGCTGTGCTGCTACCTGCCCCCGCCCCCCACCCCACCCTGGGCTTCCACCGACCTCCAGAGCACAGATGCCCTTAGCCTTGGGGGAGGAGAGGGCTTGACCAGAAGGCCAGTAACACATAGGAAAACATGTGACTTAATGACAGCGAAAAAGGAAGAGAAAATTGTGCATGAGCTGTGATTCTAACAACTCTGGCTAAATTAGCAATGGCCTTATTAGCAATGGTCTTAGTAAGAATATGAGGCGGGAATGTGGGAAAAGGAAAGCAGATTGATGAGGGTGGCAGCATTTGAGCCATGCTGTTTCTTCTCCTTGAACTCCTGGTAATGTTATTTGTAAGAAGACCCTGAGTCAGGTGGGGAGGCACCAGGACAGCAGGTCTAGCTAGTGAGAAGGCGAACAAGGAACAGGTGGCCGCTGGCTTTCATCTCCAAAGGGACACCGACTGCACAAACGTGAGCACAGGCCGCCCGCGAGTTCTTAAAATAGCGCTCCCGGCAAGCTGCAGAGGCCCCGGGAGGGTGGGAAATTCGGGCTCTGGCAGGATGTGGAGGGGGCGCTGCTGGTGGCCGCCAGGAATTCATTAGCAGCATCTCTGCCTCCTCCAGACAGAGCCGGGCGGGGAGGAGTGTGCCTCGGAGGCGGAGAAGGTGGCCATGGATCTCAAGGACCCCAACCGCCCCCGGTTCACGCTGCAGGAGCTGCGGGATGTACTACACGAGAGGAACGAACTCAAGTCCAAAGTGTTTCTCTTGCAGGAGGAGCTGACGTACTACAAGAGGTGAGCATCCCCGGGAGCTCCCAGGCTGGCTGCTTTCTGGGGTTGTAGGTCTTGGGAAGACAGGGATTGCACGTGTCTCCATTCCGGGGACCCTGTCGGGCCGGAAGGACTTACACACACACCTCACAAGCCCTTTCTGAAACCCTTAGGCCCAGGTGTGTTTTATGATTCAGAACTTTGCAGCTGTGAGAAAGGAATAGTCCACAGATGGTGTATAGATAACATCCGCCCCCAGGATGTGGGGCAGCTCCCCAACATCAAACACGTTAATATTTTCACAGCGAAAGATGTGAATGTTCGTACTAAATGGGATAAATAACCATGATAAGCAGGCTCATGAGAGCTCATTTCACGTTCTGCCACCAAATGAATGACCAAAAAGTGAATTTTCATTTTTAGAGCTTTTTGGATTTTAGAATTATAGATGAGAGATGGTGGAGCCATACAGCCTAAGTATTTGTTCGTTCAGCCCACGGCCAGTGAACTCCTCGCATTTACTGGAGCTGCAGTGTCTGATATGGTAGCCACTAGCCCTGCGGCTATTCACATTTCAGTGAGTCCAGTTCCTCAGGTGTGCTTGCCACATACTTGTTCAGCTTCATACACACTATCCCTCTACTGGTTTCTTGTAACAGTCCGCACTTGTTTCTACCTCAGAACCTTTGCATATGCTGGTCCTGCGGCTGGGAAAACCTCCCCTTGGCTTTTCTCATGGTTGACTCCTGGTCATTCAGGATTCAGGTCAGGGGTCACCTCCTCAGAGAGTTTTCCTTCCCTGTTACCACTCATCCAAAGGAGTGCCCTGTTCCAGTCACTGTCACTTTACTCACTTTTACTTTTTCGTGGACCTTCACCATCTTACTTTAATCCTATTCATTAATGTGCTTGTTTTATTGTCTGTTTCCATAACAGACTATGACAACATGAGACGAGAAAGCATTATTTGTCTTGTTCATGGCTAAGTTTCCAAGTTTAGAATGGAGCTTAGCACAGAGTAGGTGCACAACAAATACTTCTTGAATGGAAAGCCAGAAGGAAGGACAGATGCACCAGATGTGGTCCCTGATCCAGTAGGGAAAATAAGAGATGCACAGAAGATATAGTACCATGTATTTTTATTGAAAACCCACTGTATGCCTGGCACATAAGAAAGTTCTACCGATACTCTGTGCACTGGCTGTTCAAAGGGAGAGATCACTTCTCAGGGATGGGGTAGAAATCAGGAAGGCTTCATGGAGGGGGTGGCATTTGAACTGGGCTTTCCCTAAAGGATAGGGTACTGTTCAGGTATGGGAGATGTTGAGGGGTGGGTGCCATATTCCAGATGGGAGAAACCACAAAGGTATGGAGACAGCATTTGTCAAGGACAGGAGACAGGAAATAGTTCTGTGTGGCTAGATTCTTCAAAGGAAACTGAAAATTGCCTTTTTGAGATGTGGGTTCCTTTCCTGAAATTCTTCACATTTGACCAACTGGGCCAAAGAGACCACAGGCACCCACATCCACTGCCTCCAGGGTTGACCCCTTCTCTTAGCTGGCCATGCCCATTGCTAAAAGGCCAGACCCCCAGGCAGAGAGACTACTGGGGTACAGGCCACTTTTGCCATCTTCCTAGGCCCCCTATTCCCAGTATAAGCCCTCCCAGACCATCAGACAAATACCCTTCTGGAATATTCCAGCTCTCACAGAATTTTTGACTCTCTTATCTCACGCGTCTCAACTCTCTCCAGTGAAGAAATAGAAGAGGAAAATCGAATACCTCAACCTCCACCGGTTGTCCACCCGAGAATGTCCCCCCAGCCGGAGTCTGGGATCAAGCGACTGTAAGTGACATGCTTCTAGAGTGTGGGGCTGCTCGCGCACAGCCGACCTGGTGGTTCACACAGCCTCTCACTTCTGGGCACCTGCTCCGGGGCCAGGCTTGTCACTAACCACCTCCTGCTGAGACAGGCTTAACCCCGGAGCACGTGGGGCCTGGCCCTCAACTTTGAGTTCATCTCTGCCCCTGAATGCTGAGTTCCTCCAGGGGGTTCCCAGGCAAGGAGGTTTGGGTAAGTCTGAGAGGATGGAAAGGGGGTGGGGTCTGTGGCTGAGGTTCAGGGCTTGATTGTATCAGGTGGGGCATGTCTCTGGGCAGCAAATAAGGCTGGCGGGGGAATTCATGCATCCGAAGGGCCTGCAGCCCCAGCTTGCAAAGGCCTGGAATGGGCCCTGGTCCACCCCATCTGTGCATTTCTGTGATGACTCCCCCACCCTCCCGTAAGAAAGTATTTATTCCTACATAATCCATGCAGAGTCAGGCCCTGTTTGCTATGGGGAACACACAAGAACGAAAGAACTCAGCCTCGCGTTCAACCAGACTTAAAGCTACTTGAGCGGTTCTCAAAGACCCCTTTGAGATTCAGAGAGTTTGTAGACCCTCTCCCTGGGGGAGGAGAAAAACCACACATACAGCTGTGCATGCAGTTTCAGGTTTGTTGACCCTTGCAGCCCTTCAGGTAAAGGGTGAAAAGCTCTGGTCTGGTTGGCTGTGGTCTGCTAAGAGCCTACTGTGTGCCAGGTACCATTCCTGCAGAGAGATGAGCTCATCGAGTCCCCACCATACCCCTGTGAGGTAGAGGCACTGTCATTGCCATGTTAAAGCTAAGGAAACTGAGGCAGCTGCCCAAGGACATTCAGCTATTAAGAGGCAGAGCCAGGGTTCAAACCTAGGCAGCCTGGCCCCAGAGCCCACATTTCAGACTATCTGCCGGGTACACACACTCACACTGTTGTCTTGTAGCCTTGTTATCTCCCCCAAGAGGGTCTTCCTGGCTCCTGGCCTTCCAGCTGTACCCACGGCTTATTACAGAAGAGGCCTCCTCTCTTTCTCCCAAACTCTGGCAGAAGCTTTGTGAAAGCAGGTGGCATGGGTTGGAAAGCCACCGGGAGCGTGTGAGGAAAGCAACTGGGGTGTTACTTGGGTGCTTCAACCTTTAAAAACCAGTTACATTGGGAAATTCTTGGCTAGCTCTGACCCTGTGAAGTGACTTGATGCTCAGCTATGGTGGATGGGAAGGGCAATGCAGAATGTGTGCAGCCCTGTGACTGCCCGAGCCTCTTCTCTTGGGAGGGGGTGGCGGCCCTGTAGAGTGTGCTGAAACTCAACTCAGAGTAACTTAAGAAAACTGTTGGCTAAGGAACCCAGAATTCCCAGGCCAGGCTGGCTTCAGGCTCAGCTGGATCCAGGCCTCGTCATCAGGGCTCTGCCTCGGTCCCTCCACCTCTGGCTTGGTTTTCCTTATGTGGGCTGTATTCTTGGACACGCTGTCCCTCAGGGTGGCAACATGGCAGACATCAGCTCAGGCTTCTACTTTCTTTGGTCTGAAACTCCAGTGGGAAGAGAATTTTCCACAGCAGTCATGGAATCGAGTCTCATTGGCTCAGACTGGGTCACATGGCCTCTCTGCCAACCACAGAGCAGTGCATCCATCGGCCAGGTCAGGGTCTCCTCCTCATGCCTGGGGCTGGGATAGCTCTAACTCGGTCTGGTTCCGATGGACTGAAATTAGGGGACGGATGGGCCCCACGCAGATCAGAGGGCTCGGCAGACAGAAGGAATGGGCGTCCACTGTAGCCTCATCACGGGGGAGGGGGAGTCCTTCGGGCTCAAGGTATGATGGACTCAGCACCCAGGGAAGCTCGCCTTTGGGTAGGGTTTCTCATCCAGTGCTAAGATTTGGGATTGACTTTGCTTAAACTCTGAGCCATCTGCCAGCCCCACGCACAGGTAAGGATGAGCATACATCAATTTTGTGTTTCAGCAGCTATCACTTTGGGTGAAGAGCTGGGGGAGCGGAGAAAAAGTTCATGAGCCCTCATAGTCCGCCCCTGGGCTAAGGAGGGGCAGGACCAAGACACCATCCCTGTGCTTCCTGGAGCCGTTCCTTGGCAGGTCTTGAAAACTCAGGCCTTTTTAGCATCTTCACGTGTTCCGCACGCACAACGCCTCCGGCACTGTAATTCTAAGACATATGCATTTCTAAGCCTGCCTTCCAAAGCCAGGCTGTCCTGATTTTGTAGTTTTCTGCTCCAGCCCCCTTTCCTCACAGAAAGGCAATTAAGAGTTGGCTTTTGCAAACCCCCAACTGGGTAAAATCCAGAGGCAAGTAATCAAAATGAGCCAACAATCTTCTTCACCCTGGTCCTTCTACCCACACCTGAAGAAGCTGTGGTGTCAAATCCTCTCTTCCAGATTGTTCCACAAAGGATGCTCGGCCCTTCTCCCCTTTAGTGTGGCCTCTTTCTGCTCAGCAAGACTTTGGGCTCGGAGCCTGGCAGTAGGAACAGCTGGAACTGGGGAGCCAGAGAGAGACAGACAGAGGGAGAGAGACCAGAATCCCCCGTCCAGAGGGTGCAGGTGGCCAGTCCCGTGGCCACCCCAGCCTTCTAGCGGACGACTGGACGACCAGGCTGGCACAAAAGGCTTTTGACCAGCCCAGGCAGGACACTGGTACCTTTGTCCAGCTCGGCTGCTGACTGGGAGCTGCATCAGTGCGGCCCCTGAGCCCAGAGCCAGGGGCAGGGACGAATCTTCCCTGGGGGTGGGGCAGGGAATGGCCGTTTTCAAGACGGTTCCATGCCTACCTCCCTTTCCATCCCTCACACCTCTGGCGCCCCTTAGGGTCCACTTGTCCCTTCGCCCTTGCTTTTGTGGCACATTAGTCACACGGCCTCTCCAGTACAGGTCATGGCTGCTTTCCAGCTCAGCTTCACGCCCTTGACCGGTTTCCTCCATCCACCAGCAAGTGAGCAGTAACTCCCATTGAGGTTTGAAGGGGCTTTATTCATTGGCTCACACCACCTGAAGTAAGGTATCGTCCACCCTGTCAGAAACTCAGAGCTGGGATGATTAGCCCCATTTCTCAGATGCGTCACAGGCCCGGAGAAGCCCATTGACTTCCTTTAGAGCAGACCACTGGGAAGGGTCAAAGTTGGGCTTTGAACCCATGCCTTCTGCCTCCCGCCTCCCCTCCCCCATTTCCTCACCCTGTGCCAAGTCTCTAGCTGCGGGCGGACTGCCCAGTTCCCTTATCGCTCAAGTGCACCGCAAGCCAGGGACGTCAGCGTCTACGTTTCTGGGCTGAACTGGTGAAGGGAACCAGAAACTCCTGCTTCTGGTCAAAACAGAAGACGGTCCAAGAATAGCTTGTGACCGAGCAGCTGCTGGCCGGAGAGTCCAGGTTGGCACCGCCTGGGAAGGTCATGAGGGAGCACAGAGTGACTCCAGTGGTGTCCCCAGTGGCCACCAGGCACCAGCGCCCCCCTTTGTGTGGTCTGCGTCTCTCGGTCCCTACAGACTCACACACGGCAGCTTTCTGCAGAGCCGGGGCGGAGGGCTGAGTCAGGGGGCCAGGGCAGAGGGGAGCAGGCAGCGGGGACATGGGGACAGCCACGGAAGCGATGGAGAACAGCTGGTCACACACGCCGGCAAGGGTGGCCTTCGTAGTAGGCGGCCCCGAAGCATCAGACAGTCATGGCAACAGTGCATTCTGTCCCTGTCCTCCTACCCACCGCCCTCCTTGCTTCAGCCCAGAAATAGCTTCTTCACAGCCGCCCGTTGCACCGCCTGAAATGCCACTGTCGCAACTTCATTTGGATTGAGTCTTCTAGAAATCCTCAGTGGGGAGGAAGTAGGTAAAACCAGCATAAACGTTCAACCGAAACAAGCCAGCCTTTTTCGAGGAAGGGGCTGTCCCTCTAGAGGAGGTGGTTCCTGCAGGGAGGCACCTGGAATAGGAAGGAAGGGGGCCATGTGTCCAGAGACACATATGGTTAGTCAGCCAGAACCCTCCAGGCGTCCCAAGGCCCCTGGGCACTGGTCTGACCCCTGATGGGACCCCAAATGAAGGCAGGCAAACATGTCACCCTGGGTCTGGGGCCACCCTGCCCGATGACTGTGTCTTTGGGGGGTTCCTGCTAGGCCGAGAGGGGTTCTGGTAGAGGTCAGTGCAAAACCGTGTGGCTTGGAGCCCCTGACAGCCTGGCTTCAGGGGATTGGGCCCATTCGTTTGACAAAAGGTATCCCCTTTTCTCATCACCACGAGAAGATACCCATGTGGGTTCTGCCAAGATGCCAACTCCCAGCTACTCCATGAAGTGTATCGGAGGTAAATCCAAACACAGATAATCCCCAGCCTCATCTGAGACAGTCATTCCTATCTCTTCCCAGCCAGCATCTTAAAAAAAAAAAAAAAAAAATCGTAGTTCAAAATTAGCTCTGGTGGCTTGACTGGAGTCTCTTCATCCTCCTTGCCAAGACAAGAGACTGATGAGTATTCACTGTCAGCTCTGACTTACGCAGGCAGGTGGCTTATGCAGGCTCTCTGCCTCAGTTCCCCTGCCCGGACCACCCGGGCCACCTCATCTTCTGCCTTGGATGCCCCCTGGCTGCCGTCTTTGGGGCGCGGAGCCTGCAGTGTGTGGCAGTCGGAGACGTGCTGGAAGACACCCGAGGGTGTCGCCACTAACCCACGGCAGGTTTGACTCCTTCCTTCCCAACCGCAGGCCTGCTTTTCAGCCCCGAGGCCGCCGCAGTCAAGTATCACAAGCGGGGAGCCTTCCACAACCCAAACGCTTTATCTCAGGCCTCTGGAGGCGAGGAGCCCCAGACCCAGGTGTCGGCAGGGGCGGTTCCTTGTGAGGGCTGTGAGAGAGAACGTTTTGTGCCTCTTGTAGCTTCAGTGGCTTGCTGGCGATCTTTGGCCTTTGCGGGCCCGCAGAAGCATCGTCTGGACCCCGGCCTTCATCTTCACCTTGCAGTCCTCCTGTGGGCGCATCTGTGTCCAGATTTCCCCCTTTTAAAAAGATCCCCTCTTCTCCAGTATAACTTTATCTTAATGTGTTACCTCTACAAGGATCCTATCTCCCAAAGAGTCGCTTTCTGAGCTACTGGGGGTTAGGACTTGACCGTGAGTTCTGGGGAGGGGGACACAGTTCCACCCATGACATCTGCTGTAAGCAAACCCTTCAGCTGGTCTGTGTGTGTGGTGTGTTTATTTTTCATGCCTCCCTGTTTTTATGTTCTCTGTGTCTATCTGTACTTCTCTAACCAGGATCTTTACAGCCATAATGCCCATGGTAGCAGCTGGACTGATAATAGATGACCCCACACTGCAGCCCGTCCGAAGACTTGTTTCCCTTGTAGGCACTGGGTTTTTGTGGGTTCATTTTGAGCTGTGCCTCTGGAATGTGTGCTGCGATTCTGCTGAGGCTGGCCCGCCTTCCTTGGCCATTTTAGCTGCATGGCCATCACCCGCGTGTTCCCATTTTAAATGGGTGTCGAGTGTGATTTCAAACGTGCCCTCGTGAGTCTCGACCTGCACGAGTGAAGCCATGGCATTCTCGGCTCTGTCACCGATAATTCTTTTTGTCTTTTTTCTGTTTCCATTCTAAAAACCACCTTGTCCATGATCCAGTAAAGAAGGTCCTTTAAGTGACGGGTCAGTAATCAATGCCCACTGTGACCCCCCCCGCCCCCCCACCCCTGAGTGACACTAACGCTGTGTTTTCGACCTTCACGCCCTAGCTTTCTAAACTGCTTTGTTTTGCCAAGCCATCGTCAAAAAGCCATTTGGTCGTCTTTTTAAAAAGGAAGAGCAGAGGAGGGGACCAATTCTTTGTTTCTCTCTGTGTCCCCTTGGACAGGGAGTGGCACGTGGCTTTCCTGCTTGAGTTAGGTAGAGGTGAAATGTAACAGTGATGTGTTGCTGCTGTATTTTTGGCCAGCTAATTGCCTTGATTACACCATGGAAAGAGCTCACAAATAACCCAGTGTGAACCTTGCACCTTCATTTGTCAGTCAGTGCACATATCTGTTGTAGAGAAAAGAAACTTTAGCCAGAATTTCTCCAGATACCCTCGGCTTGCCCCAGCTTTCGATGAAAGACCACTTTATTCCTGGTAGGAGGTGATCGTAGGGTCCAGTGACCACAGAATAGTAAAATCATTTGCACCCAGATGTGATTACAACTGAACTCCATAGGCCACAGCACTTAAAAAAAAAAAAAGGCTAATAGGTGAACAGACAGAACTAAAAATAGTTGATCTGAAGCTTCAGTTTCTCAGCAGTGCATTCCTATTCCTTCCTGCCCCCCTGAGAAACATAACATAGCTATTATCTCTCTTACCAAGTTCAGAAGCCAAAATTCAAAAGTAGCAGAACTCGGTGAGAGTAGAATGAATCTCATTAGAAAGTAGGAGTATCAAAGGACAGTGGGCAATTCTGGAAAGGTTTTTGGGAGAAATTCAAGGTGGGCCACGTCAGGTTTACTGGCCAGGGTCCTGGTCTTTGTGGAGGTGGGGCCAAAGCAGACCTTGTTTCAACTGGGCCAGTTTTGGGGTGCCTGGGTGGCTCAGTCAGTTAAGCGTCTAACTATTGATCTCCGCTCAGGTCATGATCTCAGGGTCTTGAGAGATTCTCTCCCTCTGCTCCCCCACCTTTGCACATGCTGTCTCTCTCTTTAAAAAGTCACACGCTCTATGGACTGAGGCAGCCAGGCACCCCTAAACTGGCCCATTTATTTTTTTAGGGAGAGAGAGAGGCAGAGGGAGAGGGAGTCCGAGCATGTGACTCTTAATCTCAGGGTCGTGAGTTCAAGCCCCACATTAGGTGTGGAACCTACTTAAAGTAAAATAAAAAAAAAAAAAATTTTTTTTTAATGGGCCAGTTTATAAGCTTGCCTGTGATTTCTTCATCTTTTTTATTTTATTTTATTATGTATGTTAATCACCATACATTACATCATTAGTTTTTGATGTAGCATTCCATGATTCATTGTGTATAACACCCAGTGCTCCATTCAATACCTGCCCTCTTTAATACCCATCACCAGGCTAACCCATCCCCCCACCCCCCTCCCCTCTAGAACCCTCAGTTTGTGATTTCTTCCTTCATCCCTGGGGCTTCAGATGGTTCACTTTGATCAATGATCACTTACCGCAGCTGTTTCTGGTTTTGGTTTTGTTTTTTTATTTTTTTTTTTTAGAGAGTGTGGGGGCGGGCAGGCAGGAGAGGGAGAGACAGAATCTTAAGCAGGCTCTGTGCCCAGCGGAGCCTGACACAGGGCTCGATCTCATGATCCTGAGATCATGACCTGAGCCACTCAGGTGCCCCAGTAATCACAGCTGTTTTAAAAAGCCCTCTTTGTCTACATTAGCTGCTGCCATGTAGCAAGTTACAGTGCTAACTTCTTTTTTTTTTTTTAAAGCAGAGGGTTTTTTTTTTTAATTTTTTTTTAAGATTTTATTTATTCATTTAAGACACAGAGAAACAGAGAGAGAAAGCATGAGCAGGGAGAGAGGCAGAGGGAGAAGCAGGCTCCTCACTGAGCCAGGAGCCCAATGTGGGGCTTGATCCCATGACCCTGGGATCATGACCTGAGCCGAAGGCAGACACTTAACCATCTGAGCCACCCAGGCACCCCTACAGTGCTAACTTCTAAAGACTTTTGCCCTTAAATCAGTTTTTGACACTGTAAATTGGTGTTTTCCCCAGTTTCATTCGCATACAATATTCACAGTGTTTATCCAATGACAGAACCATGTGTACTATTACTTTTCAGTTGTCTCATTTTTCTAAAATACCTACTTTTGGCTCCTCTCTAGCAGTAATATCCACGAAATCTGGGCTTTGATGTGCTGCGTATATACTTTCCTGATTCACGTTACATAACAACTTAAAAACATTCATCTCTTTATGTCAGAATCATCTTAAACTCTATGTGGCTTTCAGTTACTACCTTCTCTGCATCATTAGGGTAAGGAAACTCCAGATGTATGTTTCTAGTCATTTTTTATTTCCACTGGTAATGGGAAGAGACCGTCAGCAGTGCTTAAGTAAGAGAGGAGATGCATCAGACATCACCTATGTGCATGCCCCATTCACACTGTGTCACCTCCCAGGTTCAGTGACAATGACATGCAGAATCCCCTGCTGCTTTCTCAAATAACTTTGACCCGCGCCCCCACTTTTTCTTTCACACCTTGAATTGACCTGCTTCTTCCACATTTGCTACTGTATGTCCTGGCATGGCAGAAACTCTCTACAGTGCACAGCAAAGGACCGGCTCTCATTTTTTTCTTTCTCTTCCAAAAAGGTTTAGCTTCTTCTCCCGAGACAAGAAGCGTCTGACCAACACGCAGAGGAACGTGCACATCCAGGAGTCCTTTGGCCAGTGGGCCAACTCCCACCGTGATGACGGTTACACGGAGCAAGGACAGGAAGCCCTGCAGCACCTGTGACCACAGCCCCCCTCTGCCCTCGGACCGGAACTGTCCCCTGCCAGCGCCTGCAGCGGAACCTGGCAGCCCCAGGTGTCACGACCTTGCACACCTCTGGGTTCAGATGCACCCTCAGAACTGATCCCTCAAACAGACTGTCTGCTTTGAGGAAGCACACCGAAAAACTGATGCCAAACTCTAAAGACATGTTTATTTATACCCAGGGCTATCACCGTTTATAATAGATGACTGATCCCTTAGGATATATATTTAATAATACCATGAGCAGAGGCCAGACTTTTGCATTAACTTCAGTAACACAAGCTTCTTTAAGCCAAATACATCACATGCCACTATAATTGCTGTTTGACTTGCTTTGTATGAAATTCTATGTGTAGAGGTTTTATTAACACATTTGTCATACTTAAGTGGGAGGCAGGGAAGTGGTAGATTTTCATTAGATCATTCATGAAATTGTCATGGTGGTAGCATAATATACAGGATGCATCCATTAGATAAGCGGGGCCTCCGAAGTCACCAGACGAGCTGGCCCCGCTTAGATGCGAAGCAACAGAAAATATGGACGACAGTCCAGCCCAGAAACTGGAGATGACTTGCAAGAGCCAGTGGTTCTATTTTGCACCTTGTTACTGATACTGCCTAGAGCATGTAGCGAGTGCCTTGGAATCAGCTGTGAGTTATGCAGTACTAACCAAACAAAGTTGCTAAGGATGAGACATTGCAACCTTTCTCATTTGTAATTTTTTTCCCCTTGGCTTCTTTCTTCCTTTTAGCCTTCCATATATCAAACACTTAGTCCCCTATAAAGACAAGTGTACCAGAGCGGATTTGGAATGGGGTGGGGGAGCCTAGGGGATGCAGGACTGGGGAGGAGGGGGGGAGGCTCGCCAGTGCGAGGGTGGTGGGTGCAGAGATCGCTTGGGGACCGCATGTCGGGCTGACTCATGGGGCTGTGGTGGCAGACAGCCAGAAGCCTGCATCTGGTGAGCTGGGGTTTCGCCGAAATAGCACTGTCTCTCTACCCACAGAGAACCCAGGGCACAGGCTGGGTGCTGACAGATCGAGAGAGGTAGCATTTACTAACAGAACACTCAAGTACGTCTGACGGGTCCACTATCTACACATTGCTAAGAAACCATCAGGTGGGTTTAGAGTGTTTCCAGACTGTTTCCATTTCCAATTTTCAGATTGCTGAAAATAACAATCAGACAGGATAATGTTGCTTTTGCACAGGGGTTCTCAAACTTGACTGCCCACGAGAATTATCAGTTGATTCTGAGAGTATAAAAGCAGGTGTATGAAGGAACCCCCCTCCCCCTGGCCAACTTTACTTGCCCTTTCCCCCAGGAGTAACCAGTGTTGCCAGTTTCTTGAGTGTCTTTCTTGAAAGAGCTTATAAATATACATGCAGTTATGTAACAAAATGTATTTTTTCCTTTTTTTTTTTAACATAAATGGCAGCATACTATATATGTGCTATTCTGTACCTTTCTTTTCTTAGAATACCCTGGAGATGACCACATCAGTACATTAAGACGTGGGTCTCCATGTCCCGCAGGGACATTTGACAATGTCTGGAGATGTTTTTGGTGTTTTGGTTGTTACAACTGCTATTGTCATCCAGTGGGTAGGCTCCCAGGATGCTGCTCAACATCCTACAATGCTCAACAGCGCCCCACAACAAAGAATCTTCCAGTTGTAATAGTGCCAAGATCGAAGGACCCCTGGTCTACCATGTGGATGCATAATCTGTTCATGTTTGTCCATGCCCCAGTGGACAGGGAGCTTCCTTCCAATCTTTTACTGCCTAAAACAGCACTGCACATTTTTGCACACGTACATCAGTCTGCAGAATAAACTAGAATTACTTGCTAGGTGATAGGGTGTACGCCTTTGTCATGTGGCTACTGCTAAGGTCCCTGCTATGGGGGCTCTACCAATTTTTTTGTTTGTTTAGTTACCAGGGCCCATACAAGATGAAGCCTGAATGTCAAGGATGGGGTCTGAGTGTGCACATTTGTCTAATCCATCCATGTTCTGGTACCCAGGGTTGATAACCGCTGGCTTGGACAATGTAAACACCGTGACTGGATTTCTTTCTTCTGATGCTGTCTCGACACATGCTTCCTTGATGTGGAGTGCTCTTTTAGCTGAAGTACCAGCTCTAGCCCATAACACACTTTTGGTGCCATAATAGGGAGCACTTTGTGAAACCTGAGTGAAATCAGAAGGGTGTTCCTGCGCGGCTGTTTTTTGAGACATGGGAGATGGTAAAATTCTGCACTGGAAGTTTACAAAGGAAAGAGTATTTTTTTAAGATTTTATTTATTTATTTGACAGAGAGGTAGAGAGAGAGCACAAGTAGGCAGGGAGGCAGGCAGAGGGAGAGGGAGCCCGACCTGGGGCTCAATCCTAGGACCCTGGGATCATGACCTGAGCCGAAAGCAGCCGCTTAACCAACTGAGCCACCCAGGTGCCCCAAGAGTCTATTTTTCTAAAACTGTTCTAACGGCTAACAGTAGTTTTAAGATAGAGCAGGTTCCCTACGTAACAACAAGATTCATACTCCAAATGCAAAAACCTAGTCATGAATATGGTGAGTCTTGATACTAAGTCATTTACTTTGCATGAAACATCTTGAATTTTAAGAACCTGAGCTTTCAAAGATACAGCCATTGATAAAACAAAAATGCTAAGTGTCACTTTTGTGAAAATCCTGTGAAGAGCATGGTACTTTTCAAAGCCCTCAGAAACTAAGGTCAATATATCCAGCCCCCAAACAAGTGGGAGGCCGGATGTCTAAGAGGGAGAAGACAAATCAATCTGTCAGAACCAGACAGAAGCCTTTCATAGATTTCATTTGTTTCACGCTCACTTCTTTGGAGCTTCACAAACCAGAGCCCCAGATGCCTGCAACTTTGGTTTTTCATTTTAAATGCCAGCCTCCCTGCCCAAAACAGGGAAGAAAAAAAGGCAGTCAGCATTTGACTCAAGAATGGAGTTATATTTGTTCAAGAGTAGCTGGTTGCTGACCCAGGCCACTGCTCACACTGGTTTTGCTATGAAGTTCTGGACATTCTCCCTGAATTCACTTTTCTATCCCATTTTTATTTCAGCTCGGCAAGCCTTTATAGATATAAAGATGGAAAAGATACAAGTTACTCTGACCAGACTTGGGTTTCCCAGGAGTCTGAGAGCAATGCAAATGATTTTTGGTCATCACCTCTTTTTGCCAAGCCCCCACAGTGGTCAATTCCAACAGATAGGAGAGAATCAAAATCACAAAAACAAATTCTTTACTGCCAAATTAAACGAGAATTCTCTACTGCCACATGCCCTTCTGTATAGATGCCGGTGAGGACAAAACTGTTCCTCAAGTTTATTAAATAATGGGTCCTTAGAACAACAGGATGAAGAGAAATTCATAATATCAGCAATGTTCAGCTTGAACCTCGGTTCCAGACTGAAAAGAAAACTTACTCCAGACCTCATCACCATCAGCAAATTTTATTCAAGCACTGGACATACAAACTGTATAAAAGCAACACAGATCTCTCTGTGCTTCTATTTATGCTGTGTCTTCATCTGGGTTCTGGTGGTGGTGGTGAGCCTCTATTTACTTCGGTCCCTCTTCTCCCTCCCCTTGGCTCTGTCTTCTCTGAAGTCCCTCTCTCTCTCCCAGTCACTTTCTGGCCACACCCTGGCTGGCTCTCTGTCCTGCCATCTCCTCTCCCGGCCACGGTCGTGGTCTCGGTCTCTTGCCCGAGAGTCCCAGTGCCTTTCTCGAGACCGAGATCGCTCCCGCTTTTCCCTTTTTCCCTCTCTGTACTGGTCGTTTTTAACAATTGGCAAATTAATGGGTTTTCGAAAAGGCCGATCACGCCCCCCAAATCTCAGTTGCCCAGATTCCTTTTTCCCCCCCAGACCTCCTCCAAGTCGCCGAGGGATCCACCCTTTGAGGGTCCTTTCCAGTTCATAGTCCACAAATATCTCATGCTGGTCAATAACCAGGCCGTCTGCATCTCGGTAAGCTTTGATCAGAGAACGCTCCTCTTTGTATTCAATGAACGCATAGCCCTTTGAAAAGCCGGTGACCAAGTCCCTCACCAGCCGAAGCCGCCGGATGTCCCCATAGCGGGAAAATACTTCCTTTAACTTCTCCTCTTTGGTCTGCAAGTTTAGTCTCGCCACAAACAGGGTGAGGAGGGGGTCTCCTGTGACGCCTTTGTTGGGGGTGTATCGTGCCAACATTGCCCTCCAGACGGCGCGATCGTGTGGGTCTTCATCAGTGCCATCAATGCTGCCAGCTTTAAGCGGGTCATACTCCTTGGCAATGGGCATCCAATCACTCATGTTCTAGGTAGGATCACAGCAAGCCTTTATGTAGCACCTATTATGAGCTACTCATTTAATCCTTATAGCAACCCCACGAAGTAGATACTGTTATTCACTCCTTTCAATAGGGAAGGAAACAGGACCCAGAGCCTGAGGCCTCCCAGCTACAAAGTGGGTGGAAGAGTATCAAAGCCAGACAGTGGGGCTCCAAAATGTTGTCACCCACTGCTCCACCCTCCATCCCGGGAAGAAGCAAAGGGCAATGTGCTTGAATTTGATCCATCTGTGTATCATCCAATTTAGTCACATCAGGACACTTACCAACCACATAATAACATGGCAACATGGATCAAAATCCAGGCTTGCCTTTCAGACTAAAATGGTCATTGGAAAACCAGCCTGGCAACTGCTATGAAAAATGGTGTTTTTAAAAACTCTTTACTGCCAAAAATTTCAAACACGTACCCATGTAGAGAATGGCATAGCCCTCCACAAACTCATCCCCTGACTGACCAACACGTGGCCAGTCTTGTTTCATCTGTGCCCCACTTAGATCCCCACTCTTAGATTCCTTTGAAGGAAATTCTAGATATTACATGCTCATCTGCAAATGTTTTGGTATGCGTCATTAAAAGATAAGGTAAGGACTTTTTTTTAAAACACAAAACTACAAGGGAAAATGGTGCTTTTGATGTAGTATTTTGCAATAGGTAGCAAAGCTAAAACTACAGTGACTCAGCAGCAGCAGGCTCTGGTTCAAAAGGAATGTGCGATTTCTTCCCAATCCCCTGGCTGATAATCTGTTCATGCCTTAAGGCATGGGAATTGATTGCAATGGTGATTTTAGCCCCACAAGCATACTGCAGTTGTCATTCATTCTGATACAGGATACTTTTTTTTTTTTTTTAAGAGGGTGGGAAAGTTTAAGTTGAGGGGAGAGGCTGATAACATGGTAATTGAGTCACATTCTGGTGAATCTGCTGGGATAATAAATACAGTGCTTGCCAACAATGCAGACACTGCTACTGCTCACATGACCACCTCTATAAAACGTTAGAGCCATTACTGAAATCTGTTACCTTAAAACCAGGACTCCAGGTGCTTGGCTGGCTCAATCAGTAGAGCATGTGACCCCTGATCTAGGGGTCATGAGTTCAAGCCCCACGTTGGGTACAGAGCTTACTTTACAAACGAACAAACAAACCAGGGCTGTGTCAAATTTATATAGTAATCTCATTTGTGACATCTTTCCATGATATTTATTAAAATATCTATAATTTCCCCCCTCTTACTCATATTTTCCTCAAGGATCTTTTTGCTTTTCTTTTTCTTCAGTTGATGGGTTATGTAGGGGGAGTGATTATTTATGGGGTGCACTATGGAATTATTTTGCCAGTAAAAAGACCAAACACAGAATAAAATCCAAAGTCAATGGCACTGCACTCAAGACCTTTGACCGCCCTTAGCCTCTTATCACAGCCCACGCAAAATCTGTTTTACCCAGCATTGCTCCTCATTCCTGAAATGTGCCCTAATTCCCCAGCTCCAGGGCTTTCCCTGTGCAATTTCCTCTCCTGGGAACAGTTTCTTCCTTTCCACAGCTCCACTTACGGAAATTCTATTGGTCCTTCCACGCCCAGCTTCCAGCCTCTTCCCCAGGAAGCAAATTTATCTGTCCCACAGCTCAGGGCACCTCTTCTGTAATACCAATCACATTTCCGCCCTAACGCACAGTAAACACTCTTCAGTCTACCGCATGCTTTACTTTATCTTCAGATTCTAGGATACTTCCTGATGAATACTGAGGAACTGAACCAACTCCAATCAAAATTCAGTGAAGTTTTTTTTGTGTCCAAATCAGACAAAAAGGATGATTTTATTGCGAACTGAGAAGCAAAACAACTTCATAGTGTCTGCCACCACACTGTAAAAGGAGGGCGTATATGCCTGTCATCGGTAACCAGCAACTTTGGAGAAGGCGCCTCCGGTATCCTTATCGGTAAAAGGATGGTAAAACAGCGGGAGCAACAAGATGAAAGAGGATTTCAGTCCTGTCTGGGTGCTGCCTCTAACTCACTTTGTATCTCTTCTCTCTCATGGCTGGAACTTCTCCACATGAAAAAAAGAAAATAAGAGAGAGCACTGTGTTGTCTGACTCTCTCCCTGCTCTAGGATTCTCCAACAATTCCTTTCTACTGGTGCTACCATTCTAGACCACACTCCCTATCCTCCATCACAGGGTTGGAGGAAAACACACACACACACACACACACACACACGGACCATAATAATTATAGTTAACTTGTACTGAAGACTTAGGAGGTGCCAGGCACTAATGCTAAGCACTTAATTTCCCTCACATCTCAACACTGTCAGGACGGAGGTTCTACTATCACTGTCATTTCAGATGAGGACGGAGACACACAAAAAGCTTTCTTTTGTCCCAAATCACAAGGCTAAGAAGTAGCCTTTGCCAGGGAGTTACATTCAAGGGCTTTTACCACTCCAGAACTTGACTTGAGCTCTTAGTATTTTCTTAGATGGCTGTCACAAAATATAAAACTTTGAAGATGGGGATAGCAACAGCAACAACAAAAACCAAGAGGATTCTGTGTTTTTGAGGCTGAGGAAAGAATCCCTTCCCCAATCAACAAGAAAAGGTCATAAAAGATCCATCAAATAAAACTGATATTATTCTACATAGAACTCCTTTTCAGAGCTTTAAGAATTCTTTGATGTAGGAAAGACATTAGGGTTCCAAGCCGACAGCCAAGAAGGTATTCTTGAAACATCTTTGGTACAAAAAGGTGGTTTTATTAAAGCACGGGGACAAGACCCGTGGGCAGAAAGCTGTGCTGGGGTCATGAGGAGTGGCCCATTATATACTCTCAAGCTGGGAGGAAGTTAGGGATAGTCTAAGTCTCTAGCAATTTTGCAAGCAAGGTTTCCAGGACCTTGAGGGGGCTAACTATTGTTGGGAAAGGTAATTTATTACTGTCTAATAAAACCTTAGTCATGAGACCCTTGATGTATATTGGTGGATCATATGCTTGGGGGATGATTGCCAACACGGACCTTGAGGGGGTAGAGATAAAGGAAGTTTCCAAAGGAATTTTTTTTTTTTAGATTTTATTTATTTATTTGAGAGAGAGAGAATGAGAGATAGAGAGCACGAGAGGGAAGAGGGTCAGAGGGAGAAGCAGACTCCCTGCTGAGCAGGGAGCCCGATGTGGGACTCGATCCTGGGACTCCAGGATCATGACCTGAGCCGAAGGCAGTCGCTTAACCAACTGAGCCACCCAGGCGCCCTCCAAAGGAATTTTTATATATTAAAGTAGACTTACAGGATCCTGAGGTTTGGGCTAAGATTGCCTTTTGCCTTTAGCAAAGTATCAACATCGAGGCAGTTGAGTCCCTAGAGGAATGTCACTCTGCCTGTTTCAAGGACTTGTCAATGGGCTGTAGGTAGTAAGGAAATTTAATAATTTTTCTTCTGCCTTTGTTTCCCACATCATTCTTCAAATTAAAATTTGAAGAGAATTACAAAGGAATAGTCTGAATTTTGTTTCTCCTTCATGGGTATACTTCTATCAATACTAAATGCCAGGGTGCCTGGGTGGCGAAGTCAGTTAAGTTGTCTGCCTTCAGCTCAGGTCACCATCTCAGGGTCCAGGAATGGAGCCCCACATGGGGATCCCTGCTCAGTGAGGAGTCTGCTTCTTCCTCTCCGTCTGCCCCTTCCCCCCCAACCCTGCTTGTTTGTTTTCTCTCTCTCAAATAAATAAAATCTTAAAAAAATACTAAATGCCAAGGGGGGTAAAACACACACACACACACACACACAAAACTAAATGCCAAGAGAGCAGCAGGCTTCAGGGCTTCTCATTCATCTTTCTGGGAGTATTCCCTCCGTTGCATTATGTTGAGATTTCCTACAATTTCTTTGGATTTTTAGATAAATGTCATTATTTCATAAACGGGAATGAGATGTGAGAGACGAATTGTAGGGGATGAAGGTGGATGGGGAAACTAATCTTAATTAAAGACAAAAGTGTGAAAATGAACAAGAACACGGGATCGGAGACAGAACACCAGGTTTAAGACCTAGTCCGTTCTTAGGCAAAGTTTAAATCATCTGTAAAACGTAGCTACAAGCCACTTCACTAGGTTTTTGTGAAGATTAGGTAAGACATTGTCCGTGAATGTGCTTTATAATTAGAAATTATTATACACGGAGCACCTGGGTGGCTCAGTTGGTTAAGCGGCTGCCTTCGGCTCAGGTCATGATCCCGGAATCCCGGGATCGAGTCCCGCATCGGGCTCCCCGCTCGGCGGGGAGTCTGCTTCTCCCTCTGACCCTCCTCCCTCTCATGTGCTCTCTCTCTCTCATTCTCTCTCGCTCAAATAGATAAATAAAATCTTTAAAAAAAAAAGAAATTATTATACACATCAGTTATTACGAAAACGTCCAACAAAGCGTGCCTCCCCTTACTAAATCCCGAGTTTAGAATATTCCCGCGCTTTGCATCCAAGTTAACTGAAGTCGGACCCACGGAGCCCTCCCGAGCATGCGCAGTGGCGCCGCGGCCGCGAAGGCGGAAGTCTGGGGGGGAAAAGCCTCTTCTCCCAGTAGCCCCGCCGCAACTCAAGCCTTGACCGAGGGCCCTCGAGGCTTCCTCCCCGCACACCTCTCACCACCTGAGTGGGAGAAGGGGAGAAGAGGCCCTTCTTCCACCCGAGCTATCGCCCCCGCTTTCCGCAACACAACCCCAGAAGGGCTCCCCCTTTGCCAGGCTTCAACATGGCGGCCCTTACACGAGTGGACGCACCGTCCGGGCCGAATTCCCTCGTCCTTCCCGCTGGAGTGGGCCCTGCTGCCACCCGGCCGCTCCCACTCACCTCAGCAAGGCTCGGGCTTCCCTTCCCACCTTAGCCAGCGGACTCCACGGACTCGAAGCGCCAGGAGATTCCTCGCGCCTGCCTGAGCGGTCCTTTATATTGGAAGAAGCAGATTCGCCACGAGCAGTGTTTCTCGCTTTTGCTTTTAAGAAATTTAATCCACATGTGTTGAGCCTCGAGGGTATATCATCGCCGAAGAGAATGGGCTTTCCGTTTTTCTAACTTTTTGCACGACGACAGAAACTGCTAAATTGAACGATTGAGTTGAAAGACTATCGAATGTGCGGTTAGGGGTCTGGGAGGAGCCGAATCGCCTTCCTTAGGGAAGGGATCTGTCAGCGCGGCGAGATTGTCAGTTCTCAGACTCACTCTAGGAATCGGATTATGTTATGGTGCCTTCAGAGGATGCGTGTGCTGGTTCACACTGAAGAAGAAAAGCGGTCAGGGAAGCGTTGACAACCCTGACTCCATCTTGCATCAGCCACCATTTTGTGGAGTTCTCGGAAGAGCAGCCCCTCTGGGAATCACGATGAACTTTCTGAGGTTTGAACACCTGGAAAGTTCCCTGCGTCTCACAGACATGAGCAAAAAAAAAGTCAACCGATCACTCGGCAGCCCACACCAACGGAAATTTCTCCCTCCCTGGGGTGAACAGGCTTTTAAAAACGCCTCTAGGGACGGGCACACCAACTGAGTTGGATGGTGCTTCGCAGTTTGCAAACCTAAATAAAGAGTTGTCTCCTTTTTCCTCGCTTTTTCTTCGCTCATAGGCTCGCTTCTGAGGTTTTTCCTTAACAGTTTGGAGCAGCCGAGGAAAAAATGTGAAGCAATCTAGGCACCTCCTGCGGACCTCCGGACCTGCCAAAGTGAGCACCACAGCCCCGCTTTGCTTCTCTTAGGGCGGCTCCTATAATGGGGGGTGGTAGTGACAGGCATGGTCCTCTCACATCCCCAACCTCCCACCTCGGTAGAGCTCAGGAGACTTTTCTTTCTTTCCTCCTTTTTTTTTTTTCTTTAAGATTTTATTTTTAAATAATCTGTACACCCAAGGTGGAGCTCGAACTCACGACCCTGAGATCAAGAGGCTCGTGCTCCATGGACTGAGCCAGTCAGGCACCCTGAGACTTTTTTGGGGGTGGAAATTTCCTCACTTCAGAACTGTTAGCAGTTCAGGGCAAGGTTCCTCCAATACAGAATGTGTACCAATCTCTCAGAGCTTTTGATGATCAGCCTGCTGATTGTACAGATAAAAACTATGGCCCGGGGGCACCAGGGTGGCTAACCATCTGATTTCAGCTCAGGTCATGATCTCAGGGTTGTGAGATGGAACCCTGCCCCAGGCTCCTCCTTCAGTGGGGAGTCGGCTACTCTCCCTCTCCCTCTGCCCTTCCCCGCTCGTGCTCGCTCGCCCTCTAAACAGATAAATAAAATATTTAAAAAACAAAAAAACGATGGTCCCGGGAGCTGTAAGTTTCCTCAACCTGGGTTCAAATCACAAAATATCACTTAAAACTTCACTGGCCTCCTTGGGGCACCCTTGATATCCCTAAATTGTGTATTTAAGAGCACAATTGGAAAGGTGAAGCTATCATACTTCACAAAATCAACGGAAGCCTATTCCAGTTGGTACTTAGAAGCCCCCAAAAGAACCTACTCAGTCATAGCCTCTGCAAAAGAAAAAAACTCAATCAAAGAAAGATGAAAACAATTAGAACAACTCAACACTGAATCCAAAATTACTCCACATCTTCCATTTCCAGTTCTCTGTCGCCCCACAGCATGCCTTCTATTTCCTCTGCTATATGCAGATCTTTCCAAACTTCCTTTCTCGCCTCTGAAGTTTCTCCTTCCGCAGCCCTGCCACCATCCATCCTCCCAAAACTAACATCATAGCACCTTTTAAAGTCAAAGTTACTTGTCCTAATCCCAATAATCAGGTCCTTTCTTTCACATCCTGGTCCTAAACAGAACTTCTTAATCTTGCAAAAGACTTTCCTAACCCAAAAGAAAATTCAAAAGAGTTCACCTGACAATTAATTTGGACTATCAATGCCCTTAATGCAGGCCCTTCTGACTTTTACCAACTAGTATGCATGCTCGTTGGACCTCTACAGGCCCAAGAATGGATAAATAAAGCTGGATAGGAAGACCCCCCTGCAGGATTTTAAACTCCCTCATAATGAGGCCCTAAAAAAAAACCTTCTAATATAGCTGCAAATTTAATCAAAATGATTCCCCATATGTGGGCTCCTCAAATAAATTAGAAGGCAGTACAAAACAAAAAAGGAAGAACTTGTTTTAGAGTTTTTTGATAGATTCGAAAAAGGTTTTGTCCAAAATTCTGGAACCCTTAGATTGGATAAAGTATCAAATTGTTTAATTCAGTGTTTCTAGAGGGCTTCCTTTATTCAGTCTTAACTCTGGTCAGACAACATGACCCTGACCAGCAGACCAAAACTCCTCATGATCTAGCCACCACCACTAACAGATTGGCAAAGATGATCGACTAACAACGAAAATAAATTTTAAATAGAACAAATGGCTAACCTTATGGCTCTACAAACAGCAAACCCCAAATCCATGTCATAGTTAAAACATCTGGGGACGCCTGGGTGGCTCAGTCGGTTAAGCGTCTTCCTTCCACTTAGGTCATTATCCCAAGGTCCTAGGATCTAGTCCGAGTCTTGCTCAGCAGGGAGCCTGCTTCTCCCTCTGCCTGCAGCTCCCCCTGCTTGTGCTTTTGTGTTCTCTCTGGCAAATAAATAAAATCTTAAAAAAAAAAAAAGTTAAAATATCTGGCTCAACTGATAAAACATGTTTCTTTTGCAAAAACCTGGACATTTCGGGGGTCAGTAGGGTGAGCTGCTCTTGATCTTAGGGCCCTGAGTCCAAGCCCCACATTGGGCATGGAGCCTACTTAAAACAATTATAAACAAAAATACCCTGGACCTTTCTTTTTTTTTTTTTTAAGATTTTATTTATTTATTCATGAGAGACAGAGAGAGAGAGGCAGAGGGAGAAGCAGGCTGCCAAGGAGCAGGGAGCCCAATGCGGGACTCGATCCCAGGACCCTGGGATCATGACCTGAGCCGAAGGCAGACGCTTAACCATCTGAGCCACCCAGACACCCTACCCTGGACCTTTCAAAAAGGAATGCTTGAAATATAAAAGATGGCTCCAAAAGAACAAAAAAATCTTGGGGTGCCTGGGTGGCACAGTCAATTAAGCATCTGACTCTTGATTTCAGGTCAGGACATGATCTCAGAGTGCTGAGATCAAGCCCTGAGTCTGGCTCCTCACTGGGTACGGAGCCTGCTTAGGATTCTCTCTCCTCCCTCTGTGCACCGCCCCCCGCAACCCCACTCACATATGCATACATGTGTGCACTGTCTCTCAAAAAAACAAAAACGAAAAAATCAAAAATCTCAAAAACAATTCCTCGATCAGATTAGAGATGTTCTAAGGACAAAAGGGGGATTTTTTTCCCCTTTCTCCTAGCAAACACCACCGGAGAAACTCCCATAACAATTCAGAATGAAGACGGTTTTATTCTTTTTTTTTTTTTAAGATTTAATTTGATTAATTAATTTATTTCAGAGAGAGAGTGTGAGCAGGGGGAGGAGCGGAGGGGGAAGGACAGGCAGACTCGGCGCTGAACCCTAAGTCTGACTCGGAGCCCAGAGTCTGACGTGGAGCCCAATCCTACCACCCCAAGATCATGACCTGAGCGAAAATCAAGAGTCAGATGCTGAGCCACCCCACCCAGGTGCCCCTAAGACATTTTATTCTTACAGACACTGGAGCAACTCCTTCAATCCTCAACCACTGATCTGTTTTCCAGTCCCCAGCCTCAAGAATACAAAAGCACTTAACCATCAGGGTCAGGGTCACTAAACAGCCACCAGCTGTCTCATCTCAACCCCTAGAGTTCATTCTTGGCACTTGACAAGGCAACCATTCCTTTTTGTTGGTGCCCTCATCCCCAGCACTTTCTTTTATTTTTTAAGTAGACTCCATACCCAATGTGAGGTTCAAACTCAGGACCCCAAGATCAAGAGCCACTGCTCTACCAACTGAGCCAGCCAGGCACACACACCCCTCCAGCACTTTTGTTAGGAAGAAATTTTTTGCAGGCATACCAGGCCCATATTTCCTTTGACCAAAAAAATGAAGTTCTGTTATATCTGCCTTCTCAATCTTCAGAATTCCTAACTGATCTGCCCAGTACTACCCTCCAGTAAGTCCACTGCCCCCCCTCCCCGTTCCTAAATGCACTCCCTGATCAATTGTGGGTAACCTCTTCTACCAATATAGGACACATAACCTCGGCTCCCCCAATAACTATTCAAATTGATCCATTAAAGGCCTTACCCACTATTAAGTAATACCCTTTAAGCACTGTGGCCATTAAAAGAATAACTCCTATTATTCAAGACTTTATCAACAAAGGATTGATCATCCCCACTACTAATCCTTGTATTAACCCCATTTTTCCAGTTAAAAAGCCCCATAATAGAGGAAGGCATTTTGTTCAAGACCTTAGGGCAATTACCAATACAGTCATACCCTGTCACCCTATTATTCCTGACTCCCACACCCTCCTCTAATATACCAGCTGAAATTACTACTTTTTCTGTCATTGCCTTGTGCAGTGCCTTTTTCAGCATCCCTGTCAGCCCCCAAAGTCAGTATCTTTTTACTTTTGCATGGAACAATCAACAATACACTTGGATAGTCCTACCCCAGGAATATGCTAAAAGTCCTACCTGTTTGCTGACCTAAAAGATCTTGATTTCCCTGGGATATCTACACTTTACAATATATAGACGATTTATTACTATGTTCTCCCACCCTAAAGGCTTATCCCACTGATGCTCAGTGCCTTCCCAAACAATTAGCCAACAAAGGACACAAAGATCTAAAGATAAATTACAGCTCTGTTCTGCTTCAGTCAAAATCTTAGGCCACCTTTTCCTGGATGGGCTAAAAATAGAACCAGACAGAATTACTACCTTCACCCAGTTCCCTCAACCCCAGACTAAAAGACAATTACAGGGTTTCTGGGTCTTGCTGGGTACTGTCACCTTTAGATTCCCAATTATTTCCTCACAGCTCAACC